TATTCAGAATAAATCATCAATATCTGAACCATCATGGGAACATCAGAGCAAAGACTCAAACAAGGTCTAACGTACGATCAACTGAGTTTAGGTTTGGAGAACATCACGAAGAGCGGGTGGGTACAAATAATTTGAGCCTTTATCCTTTGTTTCTTAAACCGTGAACCAGGCCACGTTATAACCCTCAAAAGTCCTAGCTGAAGCATGGGTTAGCTCGAAAGCATACTGTCACGAAAGGTATCCCGACTCCTTAAGGCCTACGGTAAATACGGGTTGACATCACGTTTTACAAACATTCACTTGTTTTATGAAAAAAGAATGCATTTTCAAAATCTTCGAGACAGACATAAGCTTTGCATTTTTAACATAACTTTGTTTGCATATGACTTTTTGTTTGAACAGCAGGGAAATTCGCACAATGAAAGTCTAATGAACAAGAGTATCTCCAATCAAGGGGCATGGCATGACTATTGGCCATCATCTGGGGCAGTTAAGTCAAGATTCGGAGAATCTCTCAAAAAAGCCTATCAGCCTGGGGCAGATCTCCGCCTGAGTCACTTGGGGCATTCCAACAACGAATCTTGCCTGATCAAATACCTTCTGGTGGCATGACAAAACACTGCTAACAGGGGGTAACTCCCTGCATTCTAAGAGCGTGGACATAGTCGAAAAATACTACGCAAAATCAAAGACCCGCTAGGTTGACACACCTAGGCAAAAATAAGGGCTTCCCGGCGAACCAAAAGGGTTCGGGCAAAATGAAGGGATGAAATGAAAAAAATCTGTACACCCGGCAAGTCGAAAACCTGAAAAGGCGGCTTGAGCAAAAATGGGTATCCCGGTGGACTGAAAACCCGAAAGGGCGGTCCAGGCAAAAGTTAGGGATCAAAGCGTACGACTATGTCCTGTCATCTTGTCACCTGCCTACCAGAAGAAGGTTGGTTCATCAACAACTGTCAGCACCCCACAGGTGCCTTCCACCTCAGAAACAGGGGCAATGATGAGTTGTCCAAACGATCTAATCGCTCTGTCCATCAAGGTATCAAGATAAGTTCAGATAAAGAACATGACCAGTACATCTTAATTCCCCAGAGAGAGTCAGCAGTCAGTGCATTCTTCTCCAAGTAGAGCCATCAAATCTCAAGGAAATTGGGTATCCTCCAGTAGATCTCAACCTTCCCCAGCAGCAATATACATGTTCTTAACAAGCATCCCCGGCAGTCTTGGTCTAAAGATTGTTCCCCGGCGGCATATCAATGTTCAAAGTATCATTTCCCCAATATATCAAAACTTCCCAGAAGGGTCCAATCCAGTGCCCCAGGAAATTTGGAATTCATATCCCCAAGCAGTAAGCTTATCCCCAGTAAATTCTGGAAGCTTATCCTTCGCAGAGCACGAACGCGTCTCCCGGATTTATTCAAAGAGTTATTTCCTTAACAGGATATAACTGGGTTATCCTCAGCCAAAAGCCACGGAGAGATCGTCCTCAGCAAAGTCTCCTTATCCCCAGCAAACTATCATCAACACTCAGCAAGGCATCCCTCTTCCCACAGAGTATTGCTTCTCAGCATGGTCGCTAGAGTATCTTTTCTCCCCGCAGAATCCGTCATTTGCCAAGTTTATTCCCCAACGGAGTTATCTTCTCCTACCGGTATACTTGCAACTATCATCCCCAACGGAGGCAAAATCTATTCTTCAACATCAGCCCAGGAGTGACTTCCCGGCACCCGTCAAGGATTTATTTTCTTAGACAAAAATACATTCATAAACATCACATCTTCATACATTATAACATGCATATGCATCATACTACACGAATCTCATTAATTTTGAAGACATACAGTTCATGCATCATGATTTTTGCATACGATTATGTTTTGCCTTTTCAGGAAAAAGATCAATACAAAAATAATTACTACCAACTATCGCAATTCTTTCTAGATATAGTTTCAGATAGGACCCAGATATGGCGACGTTCTGATACTGCTTCCAGATTTCCTTCTAGATATAGTTTCAGATATGACCCAGAGATGGTGACATTCTGATGCTGCTTCCAGATTTCCTTCTAGATATAGTTTCAGATATGACCCAGATATGGTGACGTTCTGATGCTGCTTCCAGATTTCCTTCTAGATATAGTTTCAGATATGACCCAGATATGGTGACGTTCTGATGCTGCTTCTAAATTTCCTTCTAGATATAGTTTCAGATATGACCCAGATATGGCGACGTTCTGATACTGCTTCCAGATATCCTTCTAGATATAGTTTCAGATATGACCCAGAGATGGTGACGTTCTGATACTGCTTCCAGATTTCCTTCCAGATATAGTTTCAGATATGACCCAGATATGGCGACGTTCTGATACTGCTTCCAGATATCCTTCTAGATATAGTTTCAGATATGACCCAGAGATGGTGACGTTCTGATACTGCTTCCAGATTTCCTTCCAGATATAGTTTCAGATGTAAACCAGATATGGTGACGTTCTGATGCTGCTTCCAGATTTCCTTCCAGATATAGTCTAGATATAAACCAGATATGGCGACGTTCTGACACTTATTCCAGTTGAAGAGATTTCAAGACCTTGTCCGGTTCAGTTAAATCGACCCTAAGATTTTCCTGATGCTTATCCAGTCAAAGGCCTTCTCTGGTTCAGTCAGATCGACCCTAAGATCTCCCTGATGCTTATCCAGTTGAAGATATTTCAAGACCTAGACCGGTTCAGTTAAATCGACCCTAAGATTTTCCTGATGCTTATCCAGTCAAAGGCCTTCTCTGGTTCAGTCAGATCGACCCTAAGATCTCCCTGATGCTTATCCAGTTGAAGATATTTCAAGACCTTGTCCGGTTCAGTTAAATCGACCCTAAGATTTTCCTGATGCTTATCCAGTCAAAGGCCTTCTCTGGTTCAGTCAGATCGACCCTAAGATCTCCCTGATGCTTACCCAGTTGAAGATATTCCAAGACCTTGTCCGGTTCAGTTAAATCGACCCTAAGATTTTCCTGATTCTTACCCAGTCAAAGGCCTCCTCTGGTTCAGTCAGATCGACCCTAAGATCTCCCTGATGCTTATCCCAGTAGAAGACACCCAGGATTTTCTCAACGAGCGTTGTTGAAGTTAAAGTCACCCAAGGTTCTCTTACCGTTCATACTAAGATGGTAACCATCCCTGGTTCATTCATCATCGTTTGAAGCTCCAGACTCAGCTCATGTATCCAGTCAGGACATACCTATACCAAGCATCTAAAAATCAGCTCCTGCAACGTGTCAGGTACTCATTTTCTGTTTTGCAGGTATGCAGGTTCTCGCTAAGGAATCTCTTACGCGATCAACATCCAGATGGCATATGTAAGCCCATCATCCTGTTCACCAATCTCTAAATGGCATCTGTAAGCCCATTCCATCATCACACTGCTACTATGTGAGCGCAAATTTCTGGGCACTCTAGTGTTCAATCATCTTCCACCCTCGGATTACGAAAGGCACGTCAGCCAATCTGCATCCTCAGGTCTAAGAAGATTGAACAGGGGCAACTGTTGTACCCCAAAATTTGCCCTCCCATATTCTTCAAATAATTGCCAAATCAAGCTTCAAAATTCCCCAAGGGTTGCACAGTGCAAAGATCTCCTATACAGTCAAAACTAGGGTTTGTGCTCTGATCAAGAAAATGAAGTTTTCAAAGGTACAATCAAGTCCTATATGCTTACAAATATGGTCAAGCATCCTCATATCAAGTTTCAAGGCATTCAGTACAAAACTGCACAGTCAAAAACCCTAATTGCACTACAGTCAACTGTAGGGGCAAAATGGTCATTTGACAGTCAAAAGTTCAAATTTTTGGTCAACATATCATTTTGAAGCCACAAACATCATTTGATCAATGCTTGATCATGATTCTCAAAATTTGGCTCAGAAATCATCAAGAGGCAAAAGTTTCTTTATTTGGACAGCTGAAAAAGTCAACTGAAATTGACCAGGGCATAACTTTCACATGGATTATCAGAAAAATTCAATCCAAAGCTCATTTTGAAGAGAAAGACATTTCCTACAACTCATCTTCATACTTCAAGTCCAAGAAATGCTCTCACAAAAAGTTATCAATTTCAACATTATAGGTCATTTTCAAAAGTCAACAAAAAGGGACTTTAAGTCAAAGGCCATAACTTGAGATTGGTAAATCAAAATGACATGGGACCAAAGGCATTGGTTAGAGGACTCAAAGACCTTTCCAAAATGTCCAAGAACATGAGAAAAGCTTAAAAATTGAGCAAGTTATGCCTTGTGGAAGTTGGGAAATTTTTGGATATTTTGAAAAGTCAACATTACTTCAAATGACCTAAAATTGCTCATGGGCCCATTTTTCCTCCATGATTCATCATCCATGACATATGCACGACCACTTGGCCCAAAGGGAAGTATTTTCTCATTTTTTATTTATTTATTTGAATTTTTATTTATATTAATTCATTTAAATCATTTAAATATATGAAAAATATTTAACTCACCCTAACCAATCTTTTTATACATGTTTTAGCCTCAAGATTTCGTGCATATGCAAATTAGGAAATATTTGGATTGATTGGCTTGATTGAGAACAAAAAGCACATGGAAAAGATATGAAAATCATGGTGAAAAAATCAAATATTGGATTCTTTAATTCATGGATCTTTAGACAGTTTTTGTTAACCTAATACATTCACTACATAAGCATAAACCTAAACCTAATCATGGGACACGCACAGCTGCTCCAGAAAGCCATTATCAAACTTGAAAAAAATTACAAAAAAACTACTCAGAAATACTCCTTTAAACCCCAAACATCTACCTCTGTGAAACGCCATGGTAGACCTCCATCACCACTCTTCAACAATCTCTTATCAAATATTCATTCGCAGACCACTCATAACCTTACACATACCTTACACTCATACACAACTTACATCTATAACTGCATCACCTCTTCAGATCTCTCCGCATACACCCTCAATCATTAACCATTACTTCACGCTCTCAAATAAACAGTCACATATCCGCACAGTACTCCCTCGTTCTCCAATTTGATCTGCAACAACTCGATAACAACCGCAATTCATCACCAAGATTACGGAGCTGCAGAGACCCACAAACTTCCTCGAAGCACTCCGCAACCAGCAACCGTCCGGTTGTTCCTCACTGCTCAGCCAACACCGAGGCCGCTCCCTCCGTTCCTGTTAGCAACCGCCAGTGCAAATCACCACAAGCAGCCTGACAAAATCCACGCCACCACGTTGCCTCAGATCGCCATCTTCACCTTCTACCTCCGAGCAGTGCCAACCGATCACTTCCTCCATGCCGAATGATCGATGAAGAAGGATCGAAGAGGAAGGAGGTTGGATTTATGAGCCTGCGGAAGAAAAGTTATCGCGAGGGAGATAAAGAGTGAATTGGGAGAACCGATTCTTTCTCTCTCTTTATTTGCTAATATGTATTAGTATATTTCTTTTTTATTTTATTTTTATTATTTCGTGTGCCACATGTCGTGGTTTGAGTGGCCCATGGTAGAATTGGGACTTCAACAAATGTGAGGGAGTGTCGCCTCAGGTACGTTGCTTTTTCATCATCAATTTTATTCAATATGATAACATAAGAATTTAGGTTATTCAAAAAATATAAAAAAAACATTAAAAAATCAGAAAAAAGAAAAATATAATAAATATTTTAATATTTTTGTAATTAAATTGTATATAATTAAGCTTAGTTAAAATTAGGTTTCAAATTTAATTCTTTTGATAAAAACATAAAAAACTTAGAATTAGGGTTTAATTAATAATTTTTCACCTTGCTTTTATTTTTCTTTCATAAATATTAAGTATTTTATTTTTTATAATTGCATGAAAATAACTTAGGGTTAATTTAGGTTAAAAACTTCAATATTTTCTTCTTAATAAATTAAAAATAATTAGAATTAGGGTTAGTATTGATTTTAATTCATTCTTTTATTTTATTAAATCTTAAAATACTAAAAAACATCAAAAAAACAAATTCTTGCATTCCTTTAATTTTAATTCCTCAGTAATTCTAATATTTTGCAAAAGGGTCCAACACCCTCGTTCTTAATTTCTTATTTATTCGCATATTTATTTTATTTAGTTTGAATAATTATGTATCTCTCCCAAGGCCTTGTAAAGTAATATGCCGCACTTTATTTTCTTTAATTGCTTTATTTTTCTGTCAAATCGGGTTCGGTTTAATTTTGGCGATGTGGACCCGCGCCATTTGTAATAGCTTAGATTTACTTTTCCTCGCAAATATTTTTAACTGTTAAACAAAACATGCAAGAATGAATGGCCATAATAAAATCAAGCGTAGAACACCAATAATGTGACAAGATAAATGCAAACGAAAACGACACACAGTTCGCACACACCACCCCTAGGGTACGCCTCACTGTTGCCTTGCCTCGAAAGGTGATCGTCGAGTAGAGGATGTCTTAGTAAGTCCTCATGATCCGGGAACCTGGCATGAGGGTAGCTTCTAAGGTGTCTTCCCATTGCTCTGGTGATCACCATATCCCGAACCTCGAATTGACCCGAACACCTCCAACGGTGGTGCTACCTACCTCTCAATGGTGGGATGGCACTACTTTAAAGGACATTTACACAGACGAATTCCTTAGGGTAGGTAGACGACTCTAGATACTTACTCTAACTTTTAAAACAAATCAAAAATACTTTTCACACCGACACCTTTTCAAAAAGCTTTCGAAAGCAATTTTTCAAACACTCTTGAGGATCGATACAAGAGTCGAACTGAAATTTTCAAAGAAACTTTTTAAAACCCACAGTCGAAAAGCAAACAAACCATTTTTGAAAACGCAATGAGCAAGTATCTAAGAGCCCATGGATAACCATGGATAGAAAGGGTGCTAACACCTTCCCTTTCTATAATCTACCTCCCGAACCGAGAGCAATCTCTTTAAGGAATTTTTCTGTGCTTTTGTCGTTTCCATTTGGAGAAAATAAAAGACGGTGGCGACTCTTGCTTCCGCGACATTTCGCGAACCAGCGTTAAACAGTCAGTTCCAGATCCACCAATCACACATGCGTTTGGTTCAGTGGCTGGTGACACGCTTGGTAAGTACTGGGACCTGGGTTCGATTCCCAGGTCCCCCATATAATTCTTCATATTTTTCACAACATGTTCCAATGCAGTGCTTGTACCAAGTTCCACCGTACGTCCTCACGCCTAAGCTTGCCAAGTGCCCATGATGCCCAATCCAGTGGCCAGGAGATAAGGAGCATGGTACTCCCCAGTCAAACAGCATGCACGTGATCATGAAAAGTCAATCAGGCTTAGAGTTCTTGGGCCAGAATTTCTCACAAAAAAACCTCCATATGGGCCATCTTACCCCCCTTGGTTTGCAATTTATTTTCGTTTCTTTTAAATTCTTTTAATTGTTTTAATTATTATTATTAATTCACAACAAATTAATTTTTCCTAATAAAAATCAGAAAATCAAAATTGTAAATATATTTTAATTATTTATTAATTTCATCATCAACTTATTTTTGTAAATAAATGCTAACAATTAACTTAGCTTAATTTAGTTTTAAATTTTAATCTTTTTCTTAATAAATAAAAATCATATAGAATTAGGTTTTTTTGACAATTTTCATTCACATTTTATTATTATCATCATTATTAATTATTATTTTTTTTATATACAAATGTAAATTAATTAATTAGTTTAAATTAGGTTAACTTTAACATTTTATTAATAATTAAAATAAACTTAGAACTAGGGTTTTCTTTTGATTTTTAATTTGTTTATTTTCATTGAATACAAAAGACACAAAAAACATCTTTCTTGTAAATAATTAATTAAATACTTATGTTTAACTTTAATTAAATTAAAAGCAAAGGACACAAAAACTCATGATTTCTCAAAAGGGTCAAAAACCCTAGGACGTCCAATTAACTTTCTTTTCGCGCATGATTATTATTTATTGGATTATTATGTAACTGTTTCCGGAATGTAATAGTAATTAGGTTTACCGCTTTCTTTATTTTCCGCACTTTATCAAAAACGGGTCTTTGTTTTTTGGCGATGTATAGACCCGCGCCTTGTAATAGCGTAGCTTTTACCTTTCCGTATTTTATTTTCCGCACTCCTAACTGCTAAATTGCATGAAAGAATGTATGATAATTAAAAACAACTCGTAGCTCACAATTGCATGGTCAAAGATAAATGTTAATCTGAAAACAACACACAATGCACATGCCACTTCTAGGGTACGCCTCACTCGTTGCCTCGAAAGTGGTCGTTAAGTATAGGGTGTTTTAGCGGTCGCCCTTATGTCTAAGATCCAGTCGCCTCGAAACGGTTGCCTCGGATAAAAGGATCTAGGACATTAGGGTTACTTCTAAGGTGTCTTACTATTGCTTCGGTGACCACATTGTCCCTACAATCGAATTGACCCGAACACCTCCAACGGTAGTGCTACCTACCTCTCAATGGTGGGATGGCACTACCTTAAGGACTCTTACACAGCATAATTCCTTAGGGTAGGTGGATGACTCATGGGTACTTGCTCTCTAAAAAACAAACAAAACAATCTTTTCACATTGGCACTTTCAAAAGTTTTCAAAATAAAGTTTTCATATACTCTTGAGGACAAATACAAGAGTCACTTAGAAATCTTTCAACAAACGAAACTTTTTCAAAACCCACACACATTTGAAAAGCAAATAAATTTTGAAAACATAAGAGCAAGTACCTAAGAGCCCGTGGATAACCACGGATAGAAAGGGTGCTAACACCTTCCCTTTCTATAAATCTACCTCCCGAACCGAGAGACATCTCAAAGAAGGAATTTTGTTGTGCTTTTGTCCTTTCCATGTTGGAGAACATAAAAGACGGTGGCGACTCTTGCTTACCGCGACATTTCGCGAACCAGCTTTAAAACAGTCAGTTCTATTTCCACCAATCACAGAAATGGCGACTCTGCTGGGGATGCTTTAAAGTGAGGTGTACCTTAGGATAGATCATACTTATGTTTTCAATTGAATGTTTTGTTTGCTTTATTATTGTGGGCATTGTCTTGGAGTTTCATAGATCCTAACCCGGATCTGGGGATACCCTTTTAGGTAGCATAAGCTGTGAGGGACCTGTCCGGCGTAGACCGACACGGGTGAAGCAGTGGCTACATTGGTGTGGCACCTTGGTCTGTACCGATATCCCTTGTGTTGCAACGAGGAGAATATGGGTCTTCTGAGGAGTCATTAAGCACCAACCGACCTTAGAACCCTAATTTGACCCAACTTGGCCATAGAACAGAAGCAATATGCTACACCCATTGAGGCTAAACTCTCGCGATGGTTCTGGCCGCAAGAAAAGATTGCGATGCTGGAGTTATGACCAATTGAGGGTAGTCAGTGATATTGGGATCCTCTAGAACCCGGTTACTTTTGATAGGACAGGTCTTAACCAACGAAACTGAAAGAGGGTAGTACCTGAACTTTATGCTAGCCTAAACTCTAAGGGCTGTCTTGTGTGACTTGTGTGCCTTATCATGTTTGACTTTGTGAATACTTGTGGTGTGCTTCATCATGACATCATACCATCATAGACATTGCATGCATCCTGCATAAGGACTGACCCATTTCAAAGACAAGAGGGTTTCATCTTTGCTCTGTTTTGTAGGACATTATGATGCCTGTGCGCTTCCTTTTTGTTTACAAAGTTGAATCCCGATTGTCTTTGAAAGCATAAATCATACGCATTCCATTCATCATATGCATCACAGGTACTCTTCTTTTCAGGTTGCTTAATCTTCTTCGATGTTTATTTCAGCAGTCATCATGAATCCTGAATCATCTACTGAGCAATCCATCAAGGCCCTCCAGGCTCAGAACGCCCAGTTCCAAGAGTTGATCATGAGTTTAGCCCAAGGTCAAGAGGAATTGAAGGCTCTGCTGGTAAAGAAGAAGAAGAGAACTGTACTATTCAACACTGGACGGAGGTTTGGCAATACACTGCAAAATAAGGTTGATCAAGCTGCTTCTTCTGTAGGCAAAGGCAGTCCCCAAGGGGGAAGGGTTCCTAGTCTTGTGGTCTCTGACAACGAGACAGATTTTAATGATGAGCAGTACCCTCCCGCTGAAGACAGGTACAAGCAGTTAGAAGATCGTCCGAGTGCCATGGAAATTCAACAGGTGCCTGGGTTGGATTTTGGAGATCTGGGTTTATCTTCTGGGGTGGTGATCCCACACAAGTTCAAGGCACCATCTTTTGCAAAGTATGACGGGGCTTCCTGCCCTAAGCTACATCTCAGATCTTATGTGCGGAAGA